TTTTGATGAAATTTGGTATAAAATACGGATTCCTAAGCAAAAACATAGGCTCAAAAAATAAATCATTTCTAAGAGTCGAAAAGAAAGTGCAAATATCAAATTATGCAATCGAAGGAATTAGGTATTTTTGTATATAATAAGTAAAAAGAAAAACTTAAATCACATAATAATACTAGTTTTTCGTGAACCAAAAAAAATCATATAAAATACCCTTTTTAAACCTAACTTTTTTATATTGACGTAAAAAGTGAAAAATTGAATTTGTTACTGTCAAAGAAAATAATGTACTATTACACGTGACAAAATTGTCACATCGTGATTTGAGGCCAGAAAGCGAGTCGTTCTAATGGCTACTTACCTGAAGCGTAACTACTTTTGATAAAATTTCCACTTAAAAATGTACTATAAGAGATTAAATGCGTAAAAAAATTAAGTCGTGGCTTCTATTTCGGATGTCGTAGGTTCAATTCTTACATGATATAACTATAGGTTTTGACTGTATATTGTATAAAGATATCAAAACGATCGGAACCATTATCTGCTCTAAGGTTGAGGAAATGTAGTAGTCACTATCTTTCTTCTCAAAAAAAGGTAAAAAATAGCAGATACTTCTCTTCGATCTATAAACACGTCTATAAAAATCATATCAAATTGCACTAATGCGTGACAAAAAGAACATACTAACCAACATGGTATATTAGTAAGAATTTTTTTAATGAAAATCGATCCAGAAATTCTTGCGTGACGACATGAGTAAACTCGCTTTTAAATAACTATATACATGGGTGCAATAAAAGAACGCAACATGAGAGAAAAGTACCTTAAATGTTAAAGATATTAAGTTTCACCAAAATAAAACATTCTTTTTTGAAAAAATATTAATAATTACATTTAAATATTTTTTTAAATTCTTGCTTAGGTCGGTAATCGAACCAGCTAAAAACGCAAAAAGGTATAATGTCACTATTTAGTACCAATAGTATCTAATTAAAATAGTTGTAATAGACGTAAACTTCTAAGTAAAGTAGGTGTTCTCAAATATGTCTGTCTAATGTCTCAATACAAACTCAACGACCAATGTGCCTTGTGTTGCCAGTGATGGCATACGCCACAAAGAGGTGGCCGCTCACGATGAGCCTCATAAGAAAGTTCAAGGTCACCCAGAGAGGAATGTAGACTTTTTGTGATTATTTTGCGATATCGAATGAGAAATTAGGTGATACGCAGGAGGGCTAAAGTCACTGACATAGCCCGCAGAATCTCCATTCTCCAAGCTTGAGTGGCAGTGGGCGGGGCATATCGCTCCAAGAACAGAAGGTCGTTGGGGACGCAGAGTTCTCGTGGGCAGGCCTCCCACAAAGTGGAACGACAACTTGGTCAAAGTGCTTGGAACCCACTGGATGCGATGACACAAGACCTGCAGTCATGAAAATCTTTGGAGAGGCCTATGTCCAGCAGCGATTGTGTTTCAAATGAGAAGATTCAAATTATGCCATAATATTATCGTCTCTACCAAATGCATTACGTACGTTACGCAAGTCAATAACATTGAACTTGAACTCTACGTATGAATATGTTATTACACGCACTGGTCCGATTTACTGTGTGCAAATGTCTTGAATTAAGATACTAAATAAGTATTTGTCCTATAATTCTAATTTTATTAACATAATTAGTTAGATGTAATTAATTATTATTAACTACATATTAATATACCCTGACTTTGCCCAGATTAGACAATATAAACACAGACCTGACAATAGTGTGTGTGTAATAATAAGCTCCCATTAACGAAAAAAGTTTTATGAAAATCGATCCAGTTATACTCGCATAACAGACCAACAAGCAAACAACAAATACAAGGAATTTTAAATGTTTACATTCAATTAATCTTTAGTCTTATAGTAAACTAGCATTTCCCGTGGCTCTGCCCGCGTTCAGATGATCAAAAACCAAATTCTTAGGTTTTACATATTAGTATACTCTTACAATGCAGTTTTTGAATTCTTTCTCAAAAATGAGATATTTTCCCGCGGTAAAAAGTATCCTATATGTTGACCCGGATAACCAGCTATCACCATACCAAATTTCATCGAAATTCCTCTAGCGGTTTTTGTGTTATGCGGTAACAGACAGACAGACAAAAATTCTGAAAACTATAGATTCGACCTCTGTATCAATAATGTTTATTTCAATAATATTTAAAAAATATATTTAATGTACAGATTCGGCTTAGTTACAATTTTATTATATGTATAGATAGATGCGTAACTCGGAACTTTTTCACGCTAAAACGGTTGAACGAATTTGGATGAAACTGGGCACATAGATACGACAGACAGGTCACAACAAATTCATACGTCTATTTATTTACAGTCATCTATTGTTACAGATAAGTATATACTTGTTTACCGTTATATACTTGTTATGTCTGTAACAAGTATACATAGGTATAACGCCTTTGAGACGTCTATAACCTTAGCGTCTCCCGTGACCATGATTGCTGGATAGATTCGAAACGTCGTGAACCAAAAATCAAAATAAATCCGCTAAATAATCCGAAAAGATAGTATTATTTAAAATGATTACATAGAAATAAAAAAAATTGTCGTCACAGGACTCCCGGCAGATGTGAAACATCTAATATACTAACATTAGAATTCATAATTTATAAAACCTATAACGAAATATGGAGAAAATAAAAAAAACAGTTTCGATAATAAAATCAATTTATTTTTCTTATTATTTTAATTATTAGTAATAATTATAGATTTTTTTAATAGAGACTGTTTTACAATGGAGCGATTTTAATCACTTTGAATGAACTAATTCCATTGTTACAGTTTATTTCTTTTAATAAAAAATATTATAATCAATAAAATCTATTGACAATCAGTGAAGATATCGCGTAACAGACAAATATATAAATGATGATGTCGTCCTGATGATGACGATTTCGGAAACGGCAGTCCATCTCATTGAGACTAGCCAACTACGCAGGAGATATTATAGTGCACAAGTGTACGCGCAGACACAACGTGCACTCTCTATTCCTGTCACTCTCAAAGTCCGATGGGACGATTCTTCGATGCGACCGGTAAGGGCTAAGGCGCCGACTGATAATTACGATTCTATAATGGCAAAAGAAAAAACTAGTAGGTACCTAGTGACTTACGCTCGCTTCGCTCAGGTGCGTCCCTAGGTGCGGCGGGTGGTACCGGAGAAATCCGGCGCGGACCAAATGGCTTGGGTGGGGCCGCTCGTCTAGGCCTCGAGCCGAAGACGTTGCGGCCACCGGTGGTGGGACCGTTTGGTCCCACAACCGGATGATGGGTGCCGGTTGCGGGACTGTGGTCGCAGGCCCGCATCCGGCGGAGGAGTAGGCCGCGGCGGGAGAGGAGTGCCGGTATTTCGGTGCGCCGTTCTCCCTACCTTCCGCGGCCTAGACGGGGCCGCCACCGTTTGATGGCGGACGCGGTGGGGCTGCAGGGGAAGAGGAGTGTCGGTGTGTCGTTGCCGCTCTCCCTGTCCTCTGCAGCCGATTGGAGGTGGCCCACTTCGGTGGGCGGAGGTTAGGTTTAATGGGGCTGCTCCGGGTACCTCTCTGGCGTAGCAGAGTTGACTGTGGAGCAGCCCCATTGGTTTGGTGGTCTGCCTTTTTAGGCAGACCTGCCGCCGGGGCGCCGTAGTAGTTATGCGCAAGCGATCCTGCGGCGTCCCATTAAGGCGGAGGGGAGGGGAATGTCGGGTTTTAGTGGGTAGTACCGGCTCTTCTAGCCGGTGAGCCCCACATCACTGGGGGATCAGGTGGTATGCGTAAATGCATTTCCCGACATAAAAATAAAAAAAAAAAAAAAAAAAAAAAGTGCGTCCCTAGGTACGTTTGGACGCTTATTATGGAATATATATTTTATCAATTATTTTTTTCGTCAATTTTTCTGATGTTATAATAGTTATTCTGCTATTCAGGGTGAAGACCAATCCAACAAATCAAAAACCATGAAAATCAGTCCAGCAGTTCTTACTTTTTTAAAATATATTGAATATTTTTTTAAATAGTGAAACAAAGGAAAGTAAATTTCTTTTAAAAATAGCAATGTGCTTAAAACTTATTATAACTTCATTTTGTACAAATATTATTTACACAGCTTATTACACCATAATATCTAACTCAATTGTTATTATAAATGAGAAAAGCACTAAAGCTTCTATTTACTTAGCAATATTTAACGTTACGCGTATAATCTTAAAGTTCACTCTCCATTGACAATTTTGTTAATCGTTGAGTAGCAATCATTACTATCGTTTTTATTGTATTAAAATCATCTTTATAGTATTAGAATAAAAAATAAATGATCCAAATGAAAAGAGAGGTAAATAAATTTACTTCGTGAAATACAATTAATATTAACATGTTAAGTAATGTACGGAAAATAACTTTTTCAAATACTTAAATATAGATTTTAAATGTGTTGGGACATTAACACATAGCACCATCTAGTCCCATGGTAAGCTACGAGGATGTTATGGATACCAGATCGATACACTACACATATATTACTTTAAATACATATGTACATATTATAAATATATATATAACCTCCCATGACTGGAGTACAAACAATCGTGCTCATCACACAAATTAATGCCCCAGCGGGACTCGAACCCACAACCCATTATAATTTTCAACACATTCAAATGAAAATTAATCTATAACATGTATATAAGTTTCCTCTATCACGCTGTCTGCTTACTTTAATCAACCAAAAGTTAAAACAGATGTCAAAAGCCAAAACAACTTCTAACGTAACAGCATAAGCGTCATATTACCATGTGCTCGTACAGACTTTTTGCAATCAACGTTCTATGAAAATATAATGGACGTAGAGTACCCCGGACTAATCATTACACTATGTGAGATATATAAAAGGAGAACGAAACAGAAGTGTTATCAAATTGTAACCGCACTCGTTTGAATACGGACGTGTTTCAAATCAAAAATGTATAAATTGTGCATTTTCTTGTTGGGAACGGCTTTGGCTTTGCCTAATCCAGAAATATTGGAACATAATAACGTAGACAATGCCGAACAAGCTAGAGGCCTAGGAAAAGAGTGTTCTGGAGGCATCTTCAGTCCAACTTGCCTGAAAATAGAAGCAATATCAGTCCTTGAAAAGTTAAATTTGAAGGATGAACTACATTTATTACCAGGAATCAGTGTTGTGAAGGAATCTAAGGAAAATGAAAGCAAAGCTGAGGAGTTTGCCGCAGAAATGGCTAGGGCGATGCCTTCAAAGCCTGACGAAAGGCTAGATAAGTACTTGTTATACAGACTTGGAAGTTATTTGGACAATCATTCAGTGAAGCTCAGGTTATTGGATGATGGTGCTACAGAGGAAGCAAGAGCTTTAATCGGTGAAGCCAGGGCCAAGGGTGGTTTGGGCGGTGGCAAGAAGGGCGGAATGGGAGGACTGATAGCTGCTGCGATGATGATGAAAGGTATGTTAATACTAAACATTTTAAATTACGTTTCAAAATTTAAATTTTACACAAAATGAGCTTTTTATACTAAAGAGTGTTAAAAAGCTATTTCGTACACTTCACAATCAATTTTACTTTACATTAATATTAAAACAATATTCATGGCTGAAAAAGTTTGCATAACAAATGAACAAATAATATCAATTCACATACCAAGTATTAGAAAGGTCATTATAATGGTAAGGTAAAATAGTTTTAAGAGAATAAAAACAAGATTCTAATGTTAAATGTACATTTATATATATCTTAACAATTTAATTTAAAATGATTTTGACCGACTTGAAAAATTTGAAAAAAGAGTTGGAAATAGCTTTTTTTGTATGTAAATGTTCTATGTGAAATCTTCGCCACTATGAAACATTTTACAGCTTTTTATTCCATTTAAATTTAAATTTTAAGTGCATACTACATTTATTTATTCTCATTATTAAAGTTATTTTAAAGACGGTGGACCTTTTTAGTAAACATATTATAATTGAATAATTCCTGGGATATTTCTTAATTATAGCACTCTTAACTAAGTAAATATGTCGATCAACGTAAGTTTTATTACATTTAATGGACCCAACGCAAAATTAAATGAAGCCCGTAGATTGAAAAAAATTATTGATGTGATTTACATTTATTCTAAATAAAACTTTTTTCGCGGATTTATTTTGATTTTTGATTCCCGAAGCTTCGAATGCTTTACAGCAATTATGGTCACGGTAGAGACTCCATCTCACGATTGCTGTAAAGCATTCGAAATGTTGAGATTCAAAAATCAACATATAACCTCGAAAAATGTCCGAAAAGATTGATTTTTTTTTATTATTTATTATATTTTATTGGTTTTATTTAAATCTAAGAAAGTATTAAACATATATTTATTCCTTCTAGTAATAAATTCGTCAACACTTAAAGAAATACGTAGACTATACAAATAATTTTACTACAGTAAGTATAATTGAACGCTTACTAAGCTTTACACAATTTACTTGCAAATTTTACCAAATTTACTATATCTTTGAAATATTTATCTATACTAATATTATAAAGAGGCAGAGTTTGTTCGTTTGTTTCAACACACTAATCTCAGAAACCACTAATCCAATTAAAAAAAATCTTTCTGCATTAGATAGCCCATTTATTGAGGAAGGCTATAGGCTATAATTGATCGTGCTATCCAAGGAAGCAGAGCAGTAATATAATATATAATCTATCTATTCCATACAAACCGTAAAAATGTACCTAGAGAAGAACCCGAGCGGAGCGAGTATGAATCGCTAGTATCAAATATTATATTAAAAAAATACATTTTTCCATTTTTTACCGTATGTATACCTTTAATTCATCAAATGAAAACGCTAAGTTGAGTTTGAAGCAATCAGAGCATAAATAATGACAACGACACTATAGTCTATTATTTAAATTTTCTATTGATAGATTAAGATAGTACATAGTCCAGGAGACGGCTTGTTTTAACGCTTTCCAATATATTTCAGCTTTCATTATTTTAAGACGAAAACTTCTAAGTTTTAACTTTATAGTGTAAACTTAGCTATGTATGTATGTATGTTCTCAACAACTTCTTAAATAAAAGTTTTACTGAAATTCCTCATCCCATTTGTGAGTTATAGGTGAATAAACACACTAACGAAAGAAAGAATATTAATATAAAAATTAGCACCATCTGAATATCTTGAAAATATATAATACTATTTTTCACCCAAAATAAACATTACTAGCGAGCTTAGTGCCCAACTTGTGACCCCTGTGCTACTCTGTACAGTGTACAGGTCATATTCCACCTGTGTTCTATATTTCATCAAAATCAGTCGAGCCGTTTCAGAAATAAAGAACAAACATACCCACATACACAGACTCACACAAACTTTTGCATTTAGGTATAACAGTATGCTCCCTTACAATTTAATAAAATGTACAAATTATTGCTTGAAAAAACAACTCGGCGTTAAATCAATGGACTTTTTCTATAAAATATTAAATCTATTTACACGATCTTGAACGTAATGTTAAGTAAATCACATTTTAATGAAACAAGATTTAGTTTTAATCAAGATTGAGATAAAAAGATATTATCCATTAACTTTCCCGCTTACACTGGATAGATGAAAGTAATACAGCATTATAGAACATTTATGGAGCAGTAGTTACATTTTAATAAACAGTTATTTTGATATTAAATTTTCATTATTTACTTCATTAGATTAGATCTAAATTATTTTGGGAATCAAGTCTACATCTTGCAATTGGTTTTTCTGGTTTCATAATGTGCTAGCAACTTGCCCTTGCTTCATTTGGGCACGTCTCTGAGTGTCTTACAGTACCTTATGTATTACTCCAAGTTTCAGTCTATCGGTGTACTAAATTTCATCCAAATCCGTCAAGCCGCTTAAGTGTGATGGAGTAACAAACATACATACAAACACAAACATAATCTTTCGAATTTATATTAGCATCCCGATACCAGACTGAGTAGCTCAAACTTTTTGGTAAGTATAAATTCAAATATGAGTAAGAATGTGCGTATATATATAATAGCTATGTTAATTCAAATATTGAGTATTTTTAATGTCAATCAAATGGGATTTTTTTAATATAAGTATTTCGGAAGTACACTTATTGCTTGCCAAAAACTCTAGCAGTAGTTCGTAAAATATATTTTAGACTGGTGCAATTATAGTTTCTTTATGAACTTTTTTTATATATTATTAAAAATATACTATATCTAACATTCAAATAATCTAGAAGTAATTACATAATTTATAGATTTTATTATTTAACTATCACCCATCATATCAATCAACCACAATGAGACGCTAAAAAGCTATCTACACATATATTTTAAGACACACAAAATATAAAATAATATTATCAACTAGGTACTAGAAATCATTTAAAATATTTCCCTTTAAATTTTAATGAAATTTGAATATTAACTAAATAAGTCAACGGCCAACTTAATTAATACCTAGGTATACTGTGTAATATATAACTAAATTAAATAAAAAATTTAAAACACCCGCGACGTGTAATTCGCCATTTTGTGGCGGCCGCCATCTTGGACCGATTTTCTTCAAACATAGCTAAAGAACACTCCCGACTAATTCACTTTAGAAACAAAAAAAAACAAAATCAAAATCGGTTCATACGTTAGGGAGCTACGATACTCAAGACAGACACACACGCAGACACGTCAAACTTATAATACCCCGTTGTTTTTGCGTCGGGGGTCAAAAATGTATAAATAGGCAAAAACAAAACAGTTGAGTACTTTTTTCTCCTCTGTTTTTTTTTGTCAACCATTTTTTTAGTGGCTAATAACGAGCTTTAGTGTTATCAAAAAATATATAATTGGAAACAGTTTTTTTATAGATATAAATAATGATTATGGTCGAATTTCAACCACGAACCAAACACTATAATGTTGAAATACGCTTTAATAGCTAAACCAAAACTATATGTAAATTACATACTAAAATTTTAGCCCGATTTCAAACTCGCCTATATTTTTGTGTGTGAAATTGTATTTATATTCACCAATTATACTTTGATTTTGTTATTTCATTTTTTTATTAATGATTACTTTATTCCTTAAGAGTGGTCCCATATAAATTTAAAAGTTGTCGTTGTATTGCTATATCTCTCTAAAAATGTATATGCTGTACAGTAAAGTTTTATCAAAATATGTTAAGTAGTTTTTGCATCCATCCTCTCATCCTCATCTCACAATTTTTACGTTTATAATATTACAGTAGAATATTGACCTTTCGCTGACGCGGACTTGGCCAGCGGGGTGAACTATAGCTTGATCCCCCTCGTATTGGAGGGATTTTGTCATATAACGTAAACAATGATGAATCTATATAGATAAATAAAATTGAAGTGTCTGTGTGTATTGTCAAAATAACAGCTTTTTACTAAATGCGTATAAGGAAGTATATATACAATACTAATAAGCATAAAACTATTTTTAAAATTTTTGTCTGTCTGTCTGTTTGTTCCGGCTAATCTCCAAAACGTATGGACCGATTGTGACGGGACTTTCTTTTTTTTCTTTTTCTTCTATAAGGAGCAATTACTTTTGCTTAAAAAACATCAGGGTTCCGCGCAAAAAAATTAAAACCCATGAAATTGTGAACAAAATAGTACCTAGGGACGCACCCGAGCGAATATGTTCAATTCAATTAAATTTTCTTGTTAATGGCTCTAAAGCGTGCCAGAAAAAATAAATGTTGTAAATAATTAGCAAAGAAATATGAAAACTACGCTACTTCACGCTTTTTTCTTGCAATCTAAGAATTATAAGCTACAAAGTTGCTAGATTGAGAGATAATGTGAAAACGTGATATTAAAACAGTCATTTCGTTTTACTTACAAATATAAAATAAGTGAATTTTCTTTTAAAGTATCATTACTAATATTAATATGCGTAAGGACTGTTGCTTGTTCTTCATCAGAACGATGTGATTCGGGAGGGAGTGCAGAAATATAGTTATATATAGATAGACACTTTATTGCATACACAAAAGAAGAGTACAGAGGATGAAAAGAAAAATAACAAAAAGGCATGCAAAGGTGAAATTGCTACGAGCAATCTCTTACAGACAACCTTTGGTGAAAAAATTAGTGGAACCGTAGACGGAACGGTACAATTAATACAAAATACAAGCAAGATAAACGTTTATGTACACATATACATAAATATATATATGTACATATACATAAATACAGATAAAGATATATATGTACACATATACATAAATACATACTTACATGAAGTATATATGTATATACTCAATAACTAAAAAATATAAATCGTTAGACGACGTTTAAAAATATGTAAGTAGTAAGTTTGAATGGCGACCATCGCAGAGGATCATGTACCATAGCTTTGCAGCTTTACGGTAAAAGAGTTGCCATAGTAATTAGTGGTGCAAGATGGTAATTTTAAAATTTAAAATAACCCGCTTACAAGTACCCGCGGCTTCTTTCGTGCTAAAACTACAAAAAAATCTCTAAAAAGGTAGTTTCATACAAACTTCCATGCTCTATTTTACCCCCTTATGAAATATGCTAAAACACGTATTATTATATTTCATTTTATTGAAAAGCATTAATACCAAGTTTCAAGTAATTCTGATCATAAATATTTTTTGAGTTGTATTATAACGTTGTCCCGTGGGAATTAGATAATATCCCGCGGTAAGAAGTAGTCTCTTTAGCCCTCCAATTATCTCCACACAAAAAATCACGCCAACAAAATAAACCAAAACAAACAAACAAATAAACACAGTTTCACATTTATAATATTAGTATGGATTATGTACTTTTTTAGTGCAAAATATAACATCAAACGCTTAGGTACAATTTCAGAGTCACGCAGTCTGAATTTTGTTGGTAATTCTTCTAATCAGCTTTACTGACTTTATTTGTTTTTGTTGTCTAGTTATGTGGTCATCTGGGTAGTTCTTAGCTATATTTTGACACAGTAGTTAAAGCTGTTTTTTAAGTTCAGTTGTGCTAATAAGATAGAATAAATAAAACCTTCATACATTTTTTTTTGCTATAAATATTAGAAATTAAAAGGCCTATAATTATATGTACACATGTAAAAAGTAAGAAAAATGTAAGTTCTTCTTTTTTTCTACAAAATTATGGTCCAAAATACACTCTTGCAGTTCACTGAACCACAAAATTAACAATTTTAAAATCTACTTTTGATAAAAAATGATACAAACTTAAAGCACAAGATTAAGGTTAATAAAGTACTTAATATAACATACTATAACGCTATATGAAGCGAATAAATACAATCTGTACTATACTAATATTGTATAGAGGTAAAATTTGTGAATTTGTGAGGTTGTAGGGGGTAATCTCTGGATCTACTGAACCGATTTAGATGAAATTTAGTAAGAAGATAGTTTGAGACCCTGTGAAGGACATAGGACTTTTTATCCCGGAAATTATCCCTAAAGGAAAATGGGGACGAACGTTTGTATGGGGAATCAAATTAGGGACGAACCCGAGTGAAGCGAGGGTGGGACGGTAGTATTTATATATTAGTCATACAGAAAATAACTGAATTAATAGTCATGTCCGTTTTTTCACACGACAGTCGGGAAACTGCCATTAGACTTTCCGCTTAAAACTGTAACTTACCGCCATAATATGATATTAGTAATATTTTTGAGAATCCTTGCATTTCACTGCATTTACTATATAATAAATATGTCCTTTTTTTTTTAACGTTGGGAAATGCATTTACGCACGACGTGTGGGACTCACCGGCGTAATACAGCCAGTACTACCCACTAAAACCCAACAAAACCTTCCCCCGTCTTAATGGGGCGTCGCAGGATCGCTTACGCATTCAACTACGACGCCCCGACGGCAGGTCTGCCGAAGCAGACCACCACAACCATGGGGTTGCTCCACAGTCCACTCTGCTATCAGAGAAGTACCAGGAGCAACCCGCATGGTACACCGCCCCCCGAAGAGGGCCACCTCCCACCGCCCACCGAAGTGGGCAACCTCCCTGTGCGTTTCTTAGCTTCGCGCCCGGTTGGATTGCCGGGCACTACTGAGCCCCCCCACCACGACAAGGTGAACGCACGTTGGGGGGGATAATAAATATGTCCTAAGCTAAATAATAAAAATGTCCCAAAATATTTATTATTTAATATTTTGGTACATTAACACACACAGCACCATCTAGTTCCATGGAAAGCTACGAGGCCTGTGTTATGGATACCAGACAGTTGATACACTACACATATATAACTTTAAATATTCGTACATACGTATTATATAAACACCCATGACTGGAGTACAAACTCATCACACAAACGAATACCCCCAGCGGGACTCGAACCTGCGACCGCTGGCACAGGAAGTAGGGTCACTACAAACTGAGCCTAACGTGTCACGGTGGCCTACTGTATGTATATTTATAATATGATATTAGTATAATTTTATTAAAAAAAAAAACATTTTCTTTCTAGGTACCCTCATGTCCGTTGGACTTGGTGCTCTAGCTTTACTAGCAGGTAAAGCTCTAATGACAGCTCTCATGTCACTACTGTTGTCAGCAGTGATCGGTCTGAAGTCCTTATCTAGTGGAGGAAAATCTACAACATATGAAATCGTATCAAAACCGATTTATACACATTCCCATTCACATTCAACGGCACATGAAGATGTTGGCGGATATGGACATTCCGGATATGGTAGAAACTTGAAAGCTAGAAGACGTTAAAACACACCCACCGTATATTTTACAAAGAAATTGAGCATTTAAATCGTATTATAATTATACCGCTCTGAAACTACATACATATATACTAGGTTTTTCCAATGTTAGTGAAGCTATTTACAACATATTTAAAAGCAGTACAATTATAATACGAACACAAAGGATTCTGGCATCTCGTTATTAGTTGTTTGATTGTTTAATACGGATCCCATTAATTTATTTTGTGTGATTGTTTGTGAGTTATTTATAGTACTCGTACAATTGTTTTTATATTATGCTTATTGTTTTTGTTGCATTTTTTATTCATAAGTTTTGCTTCGTCTATATTTATTTTAATATTTATTACTTTTTTATGTATGTATTCAAAGTTATATATGTGTAGTTATCAACTATCTGATATCCATAACACAGGCCTCGTAGTTTACCATGGAACTAGATGGTGTTGTGTGTTAATGTCCCAAATTATTTATTTATTTTACTTTTTACTTTTTTATTGCATCCAATTGATTTTATTATCTATAAATATGTACAAATCTTCAATAAATAGTGTGTGAATGATTGTTACAATGTTAATTTATTATTTATTTTTAGAAATAAGTGACACGTGTTTTATATTCAATTGATTTTATATATTTATTTTTATATTTGTATAATATATTCATTTATCTTGTATATTTATTGGATAATTATTATTATATTTATTTTTAAATATTATATTGTATGGAATATTTTCATATTTTATGTATAATAAAAAAAAATATTATAAATATTTGCTAAAATAATTTATAATTCATTATTTTATTTTTAATTAATCAATAAAAATCGTAATGTAAATATAATAATATATTTAAATATTTATTAGTAAAATATATAAATATGTACTAGTTTACTATATTTAATAATATAATCAAAATATAAAGAAATGTATTTATTTGTGACATATTTAAACGTTATTGTTTCTTTTGTGTTGTCTACCTGTTGCTGTGATTTATAATTCTCATTTATAAAATTTGTGCACAATAAATTAAATCTATTAATTTTAAATATGAATGTGTTTTATTGAAAAAGCACCTTTTCTACACTTTATGTACTATTGCTATAAATTAAAATCTACACATATATTAAAATTTTACTAAACCGAATCTATACCTCAAATATTTTTTTGAAATTTCTTATTGAAATAGACATTATTATCGATACAGAGGCCGAATCAATATTTTTTAAATTTTTTGTTTGTTTGTCTGTGACCGCATCACGAAAAAACCACTAGACAGATTTTTATAGCTGGTTATCCGGGTCAACATATAGGATACTTTTTAGTGCGGGAAAATATCTCATCTGAGAGCTAATTGTTAAAACCTAACTAGAGACAAACCCGAGCGGAGGGAAGTGAGTCTCTAATTTTAATAATAAAAAGTTATTTAATTTTTTTTATTTGCAAAATAACAAGGTGGATCGTTATACCTTTTTTTTTAATGTTGGGATATTCATTTACGCATACCACCTGTAGACATACAGGTGGTTATGTGGGACTAATCGGGTAGAAAAGCCAGTACTACCCACTAAAATTCAACAAGACCTCCCCCGTCTTAACGGGGCGTCGCAGACACAACATACCACACACACAACAACCATGGGGTTGCTCCACAGTTCACTATACTATCAGAGAAGTAGCAGGAGCAACCGGCATGGTACACCGCCCACCGAAGTGGGCCACCTCCCTGTGCGTTTCTTGGCTTCGCGCCCGGCTGAACTGCCAGACGCTTATGGCCCACCACGACAAGGTGAACGCCGTAGGGAGAGATAAATTGTTATACCTAATTCAATTTAAATATATTTATGATAATTGTTGAATGTTAAGTAAAACTCGCAATTTTTATGATAATGTGTTATTATTTAAATACTCCTATGTAAATCATAAATATTTTTATAGTTTTATTATATATTTATTACAATATAAGGCATTATTACATATAATAAAGCAGTAACTTTGCGAATTCGATGTGCGCTTTTCACGCAAAAAGTACTAAACAGATTTTAACTAAATTTTGTGTAGTGATAACTTATTACTCGGTTCAACATTTAGGATACCTACTACAGGATAATCTTTCATTTCAACGGGAAAACACAATAACTGATTAATGATCTAACGCTGGCTAAACCTTAAAAGATACATCAAAACAATGTACTAGAAAAATTGTAGGACTTAATAAGGATCCCGGGGGAGAAGCCAACTCCTACCGGGCGCGTCCCCAGGTGGCGGATAGGGGCATGCCACCCGCTTAGAGGGGCGGGTGGTACCGGAGAAATCCGGCGTGGACCAAATGGCTTGGATGGGGCCGCTCGTCTAGGCCTCGAGTCGAAGACGTTGCGGCCACCGGTGGTGGGACCGCTTGGTCCCACAACTGGATGATGGGTGCCGGTTGCGGGACTGTGGTCGCAGGCTCGCATTCGGCGGAGTGGTAGGCCGCGGCGGGAGAGGAGTGCCGGTATTTCGGTGCGCCGTTCTCCCTACCTTCCGCGGCCTAGACGGGGCCGCCACCGTTTGATGGCGGACGCGGTGGGGCTGCAGGGGAAGAGGAGTGTCGGTGTTTCGTTGCCGCTCTCCCTGTCCTCTGCAGCCGATTGGAGGTGGCCCACTTCGGTGGGCGGTGTTTGTGTGGTGTGGGGCTGCTCCGGGTACTTCTCTGATCAGCAGAGTGGACTTAGGAGCGGCCTCACTTTTTGGGTTGTAAGTCTTCCCATAATGGGGTTGTCCCGCTTGGGGCGGCCTCATGGTTGGTGGCTTCGGCCAACCGTCGGGGCGTCGCGGTTGTATGCGAGAGCGATCCCGTGGCGCCCCACATGGCGGCAGAGGGGGAAAGTTGGGTTTTAGTGGGTATGCCGGTCTCATTAGCCGGAGAGTCTCCACATAACCATCCCGGGGGAAGTCGGGTGGTATCCGTAATAGGATTTCCCAACTATAAAAAAAAAAAAAAAAAAAAAAAAGGACTTAATAAGGATAAAATATAAAATCTGCAATAGCATAAGTCTTTCACCTAAAGTACACCCACTATTTTGAAAAGTAAGTCACTTGTGTAAAATATAAATCGATAAAATAACGAGATATCAAACAATTTCATAAAGTACTTTATAAAGATATCTCTGAAAAGTATAAATACTGACACAATATATATATATATATATATATATATATATATATATATAAACATAAGATATTTTCTATTATTACACAACTTATTAAAACAAACTAAATTAAAACAAACAAATATCGCTTACATTTATAATATTTTCTTCTATCAAAGCTACGACCACGATCTCCTAATCCAACCTTTTTCTCTGTAACCCTAAAAAATGACATTAATAATATATTTAAAGTACTTAATAAGTTTTATATTTTGGGTATAAAATAATTATTTGAAAATAGTTGAACTATATTTTGCAAGAATACAAAAAGTAAATAGAGATTATAATCGAAACTGTTTAAATGAACATTAGAAAACATGCCTCATTATCTTTCCATTGGATTGGTAATTTCTCCTGTACAAATAATAATGATGAAACATAAAAAAATATAAAATTATGAAAATTATGGGAAAAAGAAAAGACGAGTGCCGATATATATTATTTTTATTTAATATCAGCTATTACGATTGTCTTTTTGACTGACTTAAAAAAGAGTTTTGTTTGGATGTTAGCATACAGTATTTTTATACTAAGAAATAACACACATTGTTCTGTGTCGGAGGTTAAAAATATATTTTTTTTTATTTTTTTATTTTTATTTATGTACCAGGGAAAAACATACAAGTGAAAACAGATACCATGTATACAAAGGATGACTTATTTCTTTAAGAGATCTCTACCAGAAACCCTCAAGCGTGAAAAAATATAAAAATAATAAGGAGGTACGGTGTAGGTACAAACTATAAAGATCAATTGTAATATAAATATACACATATACAAACATACATATATCCATACATACATACACAAAATCAAGAAATATATAATAAGGAAATCACGTGGAGTCACATAGATAAAGTTCTTTGAAGCGAGAGTGAAAAAGTTTTTTTTCCAATTATTCATGGCACTCTGTTATAAGTAGTCTATACCGATTTCAATAATATCTGTAATAAAGATACCGGTGGCTGCAAATAGTTCGTTTTAATATTAACCACGTACTAGAATTTATATTACGACTCATATATACTTTAATATTACGTCTACGATGCGAGTAGCAAAGATTTCATTTACTTAAAGCTTTCATCAATACGATTCAATTGGCTCTATATTATCCGCCTTTAAATCCACTTCGAATCGACAAAATTATCTAAGAGAAATTTTCAACTTTTCCATTACCGAACTCCGGCCGTTTGAAAGTATCTTGATTTCGCCTTAACAATACTTTTGTTTAGTTTTGTTCTTTTTTTATCTTCAAGCTTAGTTGCTTCTTTTTATTTAAGTAGATAGTATAAAACTAATTCCGATCGTATCTCGATCATCAGTTCTGTGCTGTCGCCCAACGAAATGTTTCTTAGCTATCTATAAGTGATTTTTATTTCAATTAGTGCAGTGTGAAAGTGTCATCATGTTGAAGAAAAACGTGCCAGTGATTATTGCTACAGTGATCTTGTGTAACATTCGACAACTATACGGCTCTATTGACGGCACAGATGCGAATATTTTGCCTGAAGAATCAAAGAATGTGTCTAGCTCAGATAGAACTGGCAGGTCCTTGCACAAAGAGTGTAATAGTAGTCTTAGTGCGAAGTGTTTGAAAATTCACGTACTTTCCTTCTTAGAAGATCTGAGCTCCCGAGACGAGCTTCATCTTTTACCAGGACTTAGTATCGTGAAAGAAAATCAAACTAATATGACAAGTCCTGAAGAAATGGCGGCGGAGCTATCACGTCAGTTCCCTGGAAAGCCTGATGAGAAGCTTAATAGATTTCTTTTGTACCGCTTGCAAAGTTATTTAGATGGCCATTCTTTGAGGTATAGGTTATTGGATTCCGAAACTTCTAAGGACGCAATGAATATGGCTAAAGGTGACGCGGAGGCCATGGGGAGGAAAAGTGGAGGTGGTTTTGGAGGAGGAAAGGGTGACAAGGGTGGTGGTACCGGTGCATTGCTGGCAGCTGCTTTAATGATGAAAGGTATGTAAAGTATCATTTTGTGAATAAAACTATTAATAATTAATGAAATTTAATTTAGTACAAAATGTTATCATATATATATATATATATATATATATATATATATATATATATTACTATGTTATATTTTCAATAACTTACTAATATCCTTCATTACGATTTTTCACAGGTACTCTAGCCGCTGCAGCTCTTGGAGCATTAGCACTTCTCGCTGGAAAGGCCTTAATGACTGCACTTATGTCTCTCCTCTTATCTGCCCTCGTCGGTCTCAAGGGTAGTGGTGGACATAAATCTACCACATACGAAATCATCGCCAAACCTGAAGTATCACACCATCACTCCCACAGCCATGAAGAGCACCATGAGCATGAACATGGACACCATGGAGGCTACAGGCGAGCGTACGACACTAACTATAATAATAACTATGATAGTTACGCACCTTATGAAACTACCACATAAAACTTATCCTTTGATAAGAAACAAATATTTTAATTTGGAAACGTTCTCCATCTATTCATTTGAACAGCAAATCATACCTAGTTATATAGTTATTTATTAATTTATTGCGCTATAAGTTGTTATTGTTTAATTATTTGAGCAATATTTGTATGGAGTGTTAAAGATTTATTATGCATGGATATCTTATGTTTTTCTTGCCATCTCTTTTGCTATTTATCTTATTCGCTTTATTTTTAAATGGCACGATTAGACCAAAATAAATCTATTCGTACATCACTATCGATTGTCGCGCCAAACGGTTTTATTCAAACTTTTTTGCCTTTCCCACCGTTTTTTGCTTGATCTTACTATTTCTTACGCTGTATCTATCGCTTTTTATCTTTATATACCTAATAATTATATGAATATGGCCTTATCCCTCTCGAATTGAAGAGGCCCAGCTGTGGGACGTTAAAAATAATATGTTATTTTTTTGCTTTATCTCACGTTAGAAGCAGTATGTACAGCTGTGATACTATGTATGTATTATATACTTAAAGTTAGGGTGACAATTCGTTTCGCTTTCTATATTCTTAAGTTTTTATTTGTTCGAGACCAAATATTCTTTTTAATGTAAAACATTTTAATGTCGGTACCATTAGTATTATAAAAATAAACCTGTGTAATTAATTAATTTCTAAAAAAGATTGTTTTTTTAATAGATTTTTATCTTCCATTTTTATAACAAATCTTTTTTATTTATTATTAGATTTTATTTGTTATTCCACAGAAGAAATTTGTAAGTTATTTTTTATTTAGAATTGAATGGAAGTGCTTAATAAAGATTGTGTTTTTAATTTATTAACGTAATATAGAATGAATAAACTTAAATTATTTAATAATTGTACTTCATTTATTAACCCGTTAAGGCATTACTTCACATTCACTCAAGATCCGCTTTGCAGTTTAACTATGGTTAGGCATCGCTTATTTTCCAACTAATGGTTTCTTCTTTCTTTGCTTAGGAATTATTTTATTAAGATATTTTCAATAGAATAGTAATATTCTATTGGTGCTTATAAAAATTATAAAAAGTGCGTGTGCAATTCACAAACAGTAGAAGTGAGACTTCACAAAAGTTACCTACGAGAGAATGAGATGAATATAGAGTATCAGGAGTAGGATAATTATAAGATTTATTTTTTTAATAATATTTTTACCAAGTTTAAAAGTTATTTTACATTTTATTAATCATAAATATACACTACATATAATTCAGTAATTAATGTTACTATTTTTCACTTCCTGTATTCTATCTCAAAGAATTAATTAAGTCATAGTTGGCATATTACAATCTAATATTTATAGAATATCATATACGGAAAAAGTATAATATTATATATGTATTTGTCAGACAAAAACAACGGTTACCGTGGCAACACGGCAATGTATTCTATCTCATTCTCTCGCCAGCTTAATCCTATACTCGTATATGTATGTGTTTGTCTTTTTTTTAGTATCGCAATTCCATTTCATCGAGTTTCAAATTACGACGATTCTAAAGAAGTTTCACCTCAAAAAACATGAAACAACGCTGAAAAAATCACGCTGTTCGACACGCAAAATAAACTTTTGAACACTCGCTTTTAACATGATACTATTATAATTGTGAAAGTTTGTACATATTTACACTGTATTCGTTATTCCTTCACGCTGAAACGGCTGGACAGATTTAGATGTAATTTAGCAGACATAGAGCAACAGATAGACTGTTAGATACCTATGCAATAGTCGCGGCTTCGATTCCTGTTTGGAATATAACACTCACTTATGATGGTCAAATAAATATTTAAAGAGTGTATTAAGAAAGACAATTGCAAATACCCTACATTAAGTATATCTATGCTACTACTGCACTAAGAAGAAAATTTCGGTGTCATCATGTACCAATAGGTGATTTCTATCCATCCAGCTACGAGAGTTAACATGATAAAATTAATAACTTATAAATAGTATAAAAACCAGTAAGCAATTAATGAAATTGTAAAAAAAGCAATTTTTTTTAAGAAATGAAAATAAATAGTAAGAATACCTTAAACTTTCTTGACATCCCTCTAAAACCACAACGCTTACCAACACTTGTTGTGATAACGACAAAATAACATGTTTTCACCTAAGCTCGACGATCGACCTAAAATCCTATAAACATGAATAAAATAAATAACGTTAACCTAGACCTAGGCTTTTCATTTGAACCCTATAGTCTAAACCCAGCAACAATGGTTTTTGATAAATTATTCCTACAAGTAATATATATCACTTTAGTATATTCATATGCAGTTAGGGATAAAAATGAACATTTCCAAATTAGTGATAATATGCGAAGTGACAATGTATCTGTAAATTCGGAAAGTATTCCAGATAATGTATTCAATGGTGTTTATTTCGAATGTTTCATCCAATTCTCGTTCACTTGTTTGCAAAAGAAAACGCTGCTATATTTGAAAGAGTTAAATAAACTAAATGAGGTATCAGTTATTGGGGATTATGTGAAATTTGGTAAGTTTTTCAAGATTTTTTTCCATTTTTTCGAAACTATTTTGGACAAACGATTCTATTGCGTCCCAAAGAAGGAAAATCGGTCTGGAATTTGATTTGCCAAATAAAATATTATAGTGATCGAGTAAATGCATAGATAATAAAAAAATACGAGATACTTAATAATGTTAAAAATTAAAAAAAATAAATTTTAATAGCACAGTTATAAAGAATATTAGTTAATATGGGATTAAGAAAAGAATCTATTAATTCTTATCCCATGCTACATTGAGTCGACAGATATAAGAAATAGGATAAAACAAAAGCTCTCATATTAAATATTACCAATCAATTTATTACACGCAATCTCATAAAGTAAGTAGCACATTTAATAATTCTCAACTGTATGAAATTACATGACAATGAAATAGTCATTCTATTTTAATTTTTAGTAAAACTGAATACAACTGGTAACGTCGATGAAGAAGATACATTTCAGTCTTCAAGCACAGATGAACTGTCATATATGATTGATAAAGCGGTTGATCACTTTTTTGATAACCATCTTATAAGGTTCAGGGCTATGGGTAGAGATGTGTTGGTGCCAAATGAAGGTGTGTACAAAAAAACAAAATATTAATATATGAATATTCTCAACATTATTCTATATTTTATTGAATTTTACTGTGAAAGAACGAATACGGCTAGTAAATACTTATATTATTTACTAGCCGTAATGTCTGCTAATATATTTTTTTGGATATGCAAAAAAAATTAGAGATTGTCTAAGCTGATTGTATAATTGCAATTTCTTTTCTCTACAAACATAATTATTAAAAATAACATTTATTATTTGACTAATGTATAACAATAATATTCATATATGAAAATATTATTTGTCACAGTAGAAGAATTTGTCGGTAGAAAAAAACGTAAAGGTGGAGGTGGCGGAGGCGGCGGCGATGGCGGCGATGGCGGGAAGAAGAAAATGATGATGATGGTGATGATGTGCATGAAAATGAAGCTGATGATGGTAAATTAAAGTATACAATATTGATGTAATATGTAGAATTTATTTTTATTTATTTATCCTTCTCTTTCTCTAGTTAACTCTTCTTTTAAACTTTGTGATGAAATCAATAATATTATGTTAACGTCTTTAAAAATGTACCGAAATGTCTCTTTACTCTGTTTCTTCTCAGATCTCTTTATTCCATGTTTAGTTAATAGTGTGTTCCCCTTTAGGAAATCATTATTACGTAGCGTTTTTATATTATGTTTATAGCTCTTTAAATTAACTACTACATACTTAACTATTTATGTTGATACTTTTAATTTTGTTTGTTACCAGATGCTGCCAGCGATGATGGGTATGATGGGGATGATGTCCTTCAAAGGCATGATGTTTAGTATGATGTCATTCATGATATCTAAGGTAAAACAACTGTAGAACTATTTTGGATATATCCTTAAAATACTTAATCGAATTTAATTTTAAGTCAACGTTATAATGTATTATATTAGATTTAAAATAAAACATTTACATTTTTTTTATTTCAGATGATGCTTTTGATGAAGATTTTAGAGAAAAAGGGTGGAGGCGGAAGTGGAGGAGGGGGAGGAGATGGAGTAAGATCTTATTAGAACTTATATACGGCTGGTTTCGATAACTTATCTATCAGTAACAATCTGTTAAAATCACTGATATTAGTAGCTTATGTCATACATTTGCATTTCAATAAACGAAGATTGATAAGAAAATCACCAAATTACTCTACATAAAAGTGATTTCTTAGACCCTGTATTTCTATTTTTGTGTCGGTATTGCTTTACTTTATTTTTAAATATCACTTTATTTAGATAAGATGAATAATTTACAAATATTTTTTTTTATTCTGAGATACTTTGGTATCTGTAGTTAGAACTACGTAAATGTTATTATATAGACGCCAGTAACAGATACTTAATATGTCATGGTTATTGAGACCAGCCTCTAATAAACAACAATTTTAAAAACAAAAATCACAGCAATTTTAATTATGTTTAACTATTCTTAAACTTAGGGATGGGCAGCTGGTGGCGGAGGCGGTGGAGCATGGATGCCGGCAGGTATAATACCAGTATAATAACATTAATTTAACTGATGTAACGATTTCACTAAACCGTTTACCTATATAGGTGGACAAGACTATGGGGGTGGCGGATATGATGCAAATGGACAATGGCAGAGTCGATCCATCATTGAAAAGCAAATTGAACTCAAAAATGAACAACCTATTATATCCTATGTCAAACCTACGATAAGATATAATCATAAAGATAATACAAAAAGTATATATGACGGAGTACTAAAAGATACGAAATTAAAATCAAGGAAGAAAAGAGGTATTATTGATGTTCTGCAAAACGCTTACTTATATTGGACAAATAAAGTCCTCGGCATAAGTCAAAGGAAATCAAATCATCAAACTCAAAATCATTTAAAATATAAACTTGTAAACGGTGTAAAATATGTTTATTATCCAGTAAGAAGTGTTACTAAAGTTAAATCACCTAAAGAACTCAAACCGAATGCTGTTAAAGTTAATGGAGATGAACTAAAACCTATAATTGTCGATGACTTTAATAAAGGCGAAATAATGGAAGGCCCTATCGAAAGTAGGATGATGAGGAAAAAGATGACTAAAATGAAAGAAGTTAGCGATACAATGGATGACAATCCATGGCAATGACTATATTACCTAATGAAGTTTTACGTTTTAGAGAACATTGTTTCTCCGGACTTTAAATCTTTTATATTTTTGTGAAGTGAAAGTGATTTCTTTATCTTTAGAGTTTTGTATTTAATAAGATAAATATTAAATATGCTTATAATACTTATACTCTGGCCTGTTGATATTTATTTGATATCTGATACGTTATAAATAAAATGAAAGTGTCTATTTTTGATTTCAACTAGCAAAGCATCCCCAAAACAAAGTCATTAATTGGTGTTGTTTGTTATTAAAATAATATAGGATCTGATCTATGGCATTCCTAGCGTAGCTTTAGATAGGGTCTTACAGGGTACAATTAGCTAGGAGGCTTGAGTTTCACTACCAGTCTATACTAATATTATAAAAAGAAAAATCATATCTGCCTAATTAGTTTACATGATTTGAACTGTGATTTTTATTTAATGAGTTTGAATTTTGATTTCTGTATAAACTGCAGGAACATTTAAAATTGGCAGAATAGAATAGGTTTTATTAAAAAACTAAATATTATCGTACATTATGGAGTTGATATATTTAAACTTATTTCTTAAACGTTTGAGAAAAAAAACTATATAATAAAATAATATTTCATTGAGACCATTCTTCAAAACTGTTATATTGAATTTTAAAAGTTGAAAAATAACGTTTAAAAAACTAATAACGTTTCCCCGTCGCCTGTAAATGAAAAAAGAGCAATTATACCATAAAGAATAATAAGTGTAGACATTATATATACCTTATATAGTATTATATGATCTGTGCCTAAACCTTACTCTTTTTAACTTTGAATCTCAATATATTGGTATAGGAAGGCACATATATATATATATATATATATATATATATATATATATATATATACCTTTAAACTATAAGCATATATAGACAGATCCATCAAATCCAATCCAAATTAAATGGAGCAAATTTCCTTAAGACTGCTTTGCTCGAATGAAAAAAGCGATAGATAAAATATAAAAGTATCTTGGATATATGTTATATAATATTCCCATAAGCAATTAATTATCTCTTAAAACCGTATAACAATAAAAGTATGTTTAGGATTACTGTTGCTAAACTTAAAAGACAACCTAGATCAAGAATTGCAACTTTTATCTTGACAGATGTCTCGACGTGACTTTTTATATTTCTTTTCATTTCACTTCAAAAAACCGAAAAGATGTATTCATACTAATATTATAAATGTGAAAGTGTGTTTGTTTGTTTGTCTGTCCTCCTTTAACGTCGAAACGGAGTGACAGATTGGCGTGATTTTTTGTGTGGAAATAGAGGGCTGGAGAGTGACATAGGCTTCTTTTTATAGCGGGAGATCATCTAATCCCCATGGGAAAACACGTTATAATACAATACAAAAAAATATTTATGATCAGAATCATTTGAAGCTTGGTATTAGTGCGCTTCAATAAAATTAAATAAATACATATTTTAGCATTTTTCGATGTTCATCCTATAAGGTAAAATAGGGGACGAAAGTTTGTATGAAACTACGTTTTTAGAGATTTTTTTTTAATTTTAACGCGATCGAAGCCGCGGGTTCTGCTAGTTTTATCTATAAATGTATATAAATATTAGAAATAAAGATTTGAAATAAAGCTCCAAATTTTAAAATAAAGGAAATAACTCTGTACTGTAAAGTACAACAAGTATTGGTAGTTTGGACAAATAAATACTAAGGGCACATACACGATAATATTGTTCTAATAAATTTTATTAAATTCAAAATTAATTTTGCTATATTTTCAATATTTAATTACATAATATGTATTACGAACTCATAAAATATAATAGTTCATTAGTTTTAGTTTTGACGTCATTTATCGCTCATTTAAGAAAACGAAAATAGTCCGAAGAACAATCTTAAGTAACCCTGTCCAATGTTTTTATGTGGAATGGAATATACTAATATATTCTATCTATATGTTTAGTAATATAACTCTATTATTTGCACCCCTTCCCTCTTACAGTTTGCTATTTCCTACGCCTAAAGGTTGCTTGAAAGAGATTGTTGTTATAGCGATAAGGTCGCCTCTTCTACATTATCTATCTTTTCAGTATTTATTTATTGTTATTTTTATTATTTTTTGGTGTACAATAAAGAGTTTTTGTATTGTTATTATTATTAATAACAATCTATACATCTATACATATATAATAAAATTGTAACTAAGCCGAATCTGTAGATTAAATATTTTTTGGAAAATCTTATTGAAATAGACATTATTACAGATACAGAGGCCGAATCTATAGTTTCTAGAATTTTTGTCTGTCTGTCTGTTACCTCATCACGGAAAAACTACTGGAGGGATTTTGATGGAATTTGATATAATGATAGCTATCCGGGTCAACATATAGGATACTTTTTACTGCGGGAAAATATCTCATACCTATCTGAGAAATGTATACTAAGCGCTAAAACGTAAGCGTCGAACCCGAGCGGAGCAAGGGTGATTCGCTAGTATAGTATATAAGAATAGTATTGTCATCTGCACAGATGATACAAAGACATACAAAGTTTACAGAACATACATTAATATACTTAACGTCTATATCAATAAAAAAGCAACTAACTTTACCGAGCGTTTTAATAATTTAAACTTCTACTTTAAGGTATTGTGTAAAAAGTGCTGCTACTATTTCATTTAAAATTATTTTATTAATTATTTAACAAGTACTTATTATTATTGATTTTTTTAATATTGATTATAATTTTTTATAGGCATTTAAAGCAAAGCTTAATAGTTTTATTTAGTCTAGTATTTAATAATTTATTTGTAGAGTTGTAAAATGTAACCTCTCTTTTAAACCTTAAATTATTACTTCATTATTAATTGATTTCTACTCCTTTTTAGATAGACAATCTTCTTCATTAATAGGCTATAAATTTGGTAGTTCCAGAAATAAGCTTTTTCAAATAAACAAAAAAAACACAGTACTAAATATAAGATTAAATATAATATGTGTAAGTTCGTTTGTTAGTTTATCCATCTTTTTAACAGCAAAGGTTAAACCATGATATTTTATCTATGACCTAACTGTTATTCGTATTTTCAAAGTGATTTGAGTGTATGTCACTAAGTGTAATATAAATTCAATTTTTAATTAATTAGACTAATAGTGATTCTAAAATTCATACGAGAAGACACACCAATATACTATATTGCTTTTAAATTTAATAAGGCGTTCATGTCGCCATGCTTTTGTTTCTATTATAATTTACTTAAAAATGATCTAATTTGTAATCATGTACAAAAAGTGTACTAAATTATTTTAACTTTCTTAAGTACAAGTACAACTTTAAGTAAGTACTTATAATTTTTGAAGTTTATTATATATCATATTTTTATTATCTAAGAATATAATAAATCATCATCTTAAACATTGTAAAAAAACATAAACACATAAATAGGATATTTTTTTTAAAGTTCTGTACATTTCATTAATAAACAAAAACCTTGGCTTTTTGACATTAATTTGAAATGTTGGTACGTATTCCGTAAATAAAAATAAAACCAGCTGATAATGAAAGTGAACTTCGAGGTCAGAACAGAAATAAAAAATAAAAATATACCATATTTTTTGTATAAAATTAAAAGCGATAAATGTACATATATTGTAAAATTTATATCAAAAATTAAATATTTATTATGAAAAATCTTTTATATATGCATTGTAAAGGTGTTATTCTGACAAAAAAAATTAAAAATAATTACAATCGAGCAGAAATTGTATGCAATTATTTAATTTTTATTACCAAACTATTACTAACAAGAGCTATTATTTATAAAATAAAGTACCTAATAGCATCATGCCCTACACAATGTCAAGGACAGAAGCATAATTTACACGCTCAATAAATTTAATTTGAAGAAAATATAATTTTACTATAATGACCGACAACGTTCACTGTCGCAGCGCACTCGAGCGCCAGTAACAACGTCTTTTTAGCTGTAACTTAATCTTTAGTCATTTTCAATAGGGTTAACTCCTCCAGGTAAATTCCTAAGAAATTAAGTAAATTTCTAAGAAATTTTCCGGTGTGCCCGCGGTCGTTGAGGGATTATTTAGTTAATACAATAACAAAAGTAAAGAAATATAAACATAATACGCATATTCACTAATTGTCACTTATTATTACATTTAAATAAATCAAATTACGTTTTTTTTTAATTTTTGCTTACCTAACAGAATTCCTTTTATTTTAAACAAGAGTTCGCCTAATGATTGAAACTCAACCATAGTTATTATATTAAAGAAGAGTGTTTTCAAAATTTTTATTGTTATACGAAAATCAGTTGACATACAGAACAGTATTGTCTTGGTCTACTGTACTTATATATGGATGGACATTTCAGAGAAAGTTTCTTACCTTACAATTTATTTCTTCTTAACTACATTTAAATGTACAAAATGAAAATTCATGTAAATGAAAATACTTGGTGTAGATTCAACAAATTTTGATTTTTTACTTTACCTTTTTCTTTTTTTTATTTACTTCCCAAAATTAGCCCCTAAAAATAAAGTTATTTGTTTTTGTTGTATTTTTATTACTGTAGTTCCTTACTTGGAGTTCCAGAAAGGCCTTGACCTAAGGAGATTATTGAGGTTTTTATTTAAAAAAAACTTGTAACAGCCTGAAGTTGGGAAATTGGCAGTGATTAGTGAACCTACCGTCTCCCCATCTGAATTGCCTTGCGTGCCTTGAATAGCATGTTAAGCTGTTGGTCCTGCGCCTAACCCCTTGCTCTTATCGAAGAACTGTCCCATAGGACATTGATAGTAAAAAGAAATAGAGATTTTACTTGTACAATGAATTATCTCCTGCACTGTTGGTCAATCTCATTGAAATTTCACCATTTTTATTCAAAAGGTTTGAGACCTATAAGGTTCCCATTTATTCACTGTATATTCAAGATCTAATAATACAACATTTTAAGAAAAAAGTAACAAAAAAATAT